TTCGAGACGATGGGAACTCGACTAATGAGCCAGTCCTTGATCATGGGGACGGATGTCGAGCCCCGCCGTACGGGGCTTCTTAGAAGTGCAGGCTATGCAAGCTGGGTACACTAAGATTAACCTGACGCAGTGGCTTGAAGCCACGTCTGTGACCACATTTGAAGAAATATTGATTAAGCAATATAAGGACCCATGTGTTGCTGCAAGAATCAGGAACAAGCTTGACAATCTCAAGCGCCGCAAGTGGTCAGGCACCATGTAGAACCTGCAATTGTATGTTAGCGAACTTTTTGCTACTTCTGGGTTGGAAATGACTGCACAATCATGCTTGGATGTGTGAAAGGTGTGGTTCCCACTAACTACACATTTCGTCGAGGCAACATTGCACATTTCGCCTAGGCAAAGACCATGCAGATGTAGTTAGCCTCGAGACACACGACATGCAGCAAGACGCCTACAGGTAGTAGGCGGTTTCGAGGCATCAATTGTTTTGTTGTGCATGACCTGTTAGAGGCTGATAAGGAGAACTATGTAGATGGCCCCACTCTTGGTGACGACCAAAAACGGGATGTTGATACAACATATTCCTCTTTAGCCCATGAGTCTAACAGTAATAAGGAGGAAGAAAGACTGAATGCCTTTAGAAAATCTGCCAATGTGAAGGGACCAAACCGGAACTCGGGAAAGAAATTCGTTGTACTTCCCAAGGGAGGCAAAATCTCATCCAAACTGGAGGATCTTGTGACCAAACCTTTGTTGGATCTCCAGATCAGCGAGGTTGAATCTAAGGCTAGGGTCAAGAAAGGGATTTGCCTGCATTGCAGAAGTTGGGTTGGAACCCAGGAAAAAACTTCGCCATACTTCCCAAGGGAGTCAAAATCCCAGCCAAACCGGAGGATCCTGTGAGGCTGTGACCAAATCTCAAGATCAACGAGGTTGAATGTAAGGCTAGATTCAAGAAAGGGATTTACCTGCATTGCAGAAGTTGGGACATAAAGTTCAAGATTGTTATAGGTTGCAGGGATACCAGAATTGGGTGTAGAGTCGTTGTCAGCACACTCTATAGCAAGGGAGACTGAACCGGTAAGTGGTAGTTCCTCTAAGGAACCTGATTATGTTCAGCAGTCCTTTCTTGAAGCCCCACCATTTGCTGATTTCAAGGCTGATGCATGCCATGTCCTTTATGTTAAGCCTTGGGAGGAGTCCAAAAAGATTAACTTTCACTACCACCTCGAGCATTGGGTTGAGATAAAACAGCAGTATGCTCAAGGGATAATAAAGTTGATTTTCTTCAAGCTTATCATTAACCACCGCTACCTCAGTGTTTTGGTTTATTGTGGTTCTACTACTAACTTTATGTCTCCACACGAGGTATGCAAGGTAGGCTTGGGAATGAAGCAAGTGGAGTTGCAGACCCCTTGTCGGACCCAAGTAGGCAACAAAGAAGTTGTCTCAGTACGCACTGCCTTTGACAAGGACAAAATCGTCACCCTCGAACTGAACTTCTATGTACTCAACAAGTGCCCCTTCAACACAGTTCTTGGATTGGGCCGTCTACTGTCCCAATGCAAAAGAATTGAGTGAAAGGACTCACTCTTCGTAGTACATGATTCTAAGGGGGACGAGCGCCATGTCCTCTTGGATGAGAAACACAACTTCCCAGTGACTTTCTTAATGCTATGTGATTCTGCAAGAAGTGGTGCAAGCGTAAGGAGGATGAACAATTGTTACTTTTGTTTGTCCTACTCATGTGCCTTCTACTTTTGCAGCTAGTACTAGTTCTAATACTTCTACTTCTACATCCACTTTTAGTCCAAATGATTCTAGTACTAGTTCTAATACTTCTACATCTACTTCGAATTCGGTTGCCTTGACTGCTAATTTGCATCCTGATCTACATGGCCCCTATTCTGATCCTCCACCCCCGGATATCTCGGCAAACATCCAAAGCCTACTCAGCCAATATTTTGGAAGTTATGGCCAACCGACGTGGAGTCCCCATGCGTTCAGTCAAGCACACAGTCGAGTTGGTTGAAGGCAGTCCTCCAAAGGGTTGTGTTTACCGTATAGGACCCGACGAGTTGAGGAACTCCGGAAGGAAATCGATGAGATGATTGACAAAGGGTGGATCAAACCAAGCGAGTCTGAATTTGGTGCTCCTGTGTTGTTTGTGCCAAAGAAAGGAGGCAAACTCCGCATGTGTATTGACTATCGCGGTCTAAACCGCATCACAAGAAAGAATGTGTATCCGTAGTCACGCATGGATGACTTGCTTGATGTTGTAGATGGGTGCAAGGTCTTCTCCAAGATCGATCTAAAGTCTGGTTACCACCAGAATCCTGTGGACCAGCACAAGACTGCATTGAAGACTCGCAATGGGTTATACGAATTCACTGTTATGCCCGTCGGTCTCACGAATGCACTGTTCACCTTTCAAAGTCTCGTAGACAAAGTGTTTTGGGAATAGGTCAGTCGATTTATTGTTCTCTATCTTGATGATATTTTGATCTTCAGCAAATCAATGGAGGAGCACTTGAGACCAGTGAATCCCCCTCGGCGGCGGACAAGCGCGGCCGAGTTCGCGACCCCGCGGACGCGTCCGCGCGGCCGCGCGACTTCGCGGATGCGTGGCGGCCGGTGGGGAGGGGGGTTGGGGATTCGGGAAGCGCCATGGGGCGGCGCAACCCCAGCCCCACCCCCTCAAGCAAA